CACCAGAGAAGGCTTTGGGACCACTAGATAGGATTGTCTCTGCAGAGACCTGGAGGGAGACTCCACACTGAGTGGCAATGGCCCGTGGCTGGGGTGAGACTGCATCATTTGCAGTGAGGAGCCTTCTGGGGTACCCCTTGGAAGAGGGCGGAATGGCATGGCATGGTAGGTAGGGAGAATGCCCTTTGCCCTCCTCATCACTGTCGCTTCTCAGTAGTTAAGGGCTCAATGTTTTTGTCTCTTATTCGTGGGGTCCTCACATCCTGGTTTCTAATTTGTCTTATGCTGTGAGGACAGATCACATTGTCCTGTTCACATCTCAGTTGTTGAGATCTGCTTTCCTTATTTCTGAACAGTCCCTCTCCAGCTGCATGTCTCTGTATAAGCTTTGAGTTTCTGCAAGCAAGACTCATGCCCTTGTAATTGATTTATAGTTGGAGAAGTTGCAGCGATAATGACCACAGAGAGCCATGCCTTCAAGATCAGCCACAGAAATTTTCATTTCCTGGCCTGATAACAGTAAAAAAGGCAACCAAGCTAATGCATGGTGATGAATGACTGCCAAGGTGTCTGAAGACCTTCACTTTCTAAGCACATAGGGTGCTCTGCAGAGCCAGGGCTTCAGTGGACACCGAGTCCACCAAGGAAGGGCTCGGCTTCTGTGGCACTTTGACAGGACAGCGTGTAGCCGTTCTGCTATGAGCAGTGCCCATGCCCTGAAGAGACACTGAGTGTCTGTGATACAGGACGGTGTCTCTAAGCAGATAGACTGGATATAGATCACGAGCCAGTCAGGGCTCGAGGCTTGATGTCCCTCATCCCTGGCTTCAGAGTCTGCTTTCAAGTTGCCTCATTAGATTGTAGAGACTGGCTGTTTCCTCTTCTCAGAAAACAGCTAGAGGACATCTCCCAGCCTTTACTTGCAGTTAGGTGTGGGAGTCCATGGTGTGCCCCACTTCCAAGCTTGGCCCCTGAAAACCTCCATGTGTTCTCCCATGTGGTCTTTTCCCATCTGTGTTAACCCTGGGAATCCTGCACTGAGGGAAGGGGGTGTGTCTGGATCCTGGGGTCACCCTGTGGAGGAGTGCCAGCCAATCATGGAGACCCACTTCAAACTTTGCATGAATGTGAAATAGCTGTGGGGCTTACTCGTTACAGTAGTGTTACAGTATCCAGTGCTAATCTCACCAGTACAGACCAGTGCTAATCTCACCAGTACGTCGTGGTCAGTTCTTAAGGAAGGGACCTCTTTTTTCATCTGTACACATTGCCATCATTTTGAGTAACTTTACTGACTGCTCATTCAGCGAGTGGCTGACCGGCGCCTTCCGTGCTCACTCCGTCTTCCCACCAAGTCTTGAAGGTCCATTCTGTGAATGTCTCCACTTGACATGTGAGAAAACTGGCTCAGAGGCATTAGTTCACTTTCCTGAGGCACAGAGGCAGTGAGTAACAGAGCCAGGACTTGAAGCGGGTCAGTCTGACTTTGGTGTGGTTAACCACAATGCTCAGCAACGGCTTCCCTCTCTTTCCCACCCCTCCCACCCCGCCATAGTCACCTACAGCTCTCGAGATCCCTGAGGAGTGTGATGGCACTTGCCTGCGAGACATCTCGCATAGCTGCAAGATGATTTTCCAAATGATACCGTGAGGCTGCATGACTTAGGATTCATTCATGGCTGTGACTGCACCTTAGGGAGCTATACTTACATGTCCAGAGGCAACATGGGGAGGGGCCAGGGATAGGACTTCTGCAGGACTATCCCCTGGGGGTGGCAGCAAAGACTTGGGCTGTCTGATGACGAGGAGCCTGACTCAACTGAAGTGTGTAGGTATCTTCTATTGTAGATTGGTATTTGGACTCTTTCTTGGGACCTAGGGATCAGACTAAGGTTTTCCTGGCTGAGAGCCTAGGGGTGAGGTGAGTACAGTGGCGGGAGTCAGGTAACTTGCATTTCAGTCTGTTTGGGAGGTGAGCACGCAGGGTAAGTACTGTAGGGGCAGGGAGCAGTTCCATACTCAGGGTTGAAAAGGGAGAGTGTGTGTATCAGTTTCAGACTGGGACATAAGCATGTACCTCGTGAATGAGCCTCACAGCTCAGGCAGTCCTGTGGCCCGGGCATCTGAGCCCAGGCAGGGGTGGCAGGGAGCATGGCTGCAGAAGTAGCTGAAGGTGTGATTTGTGACTGCTGTAGGTGGGGAACCGGCAGGGGAGGCAGAGGCTCTTAGGAGTCTGGAGAGAGATGATGCTGGTGACGCTGGGGAGACTAGGGCAGGAGAAAAGAGCTGAACCCACTGGGAGGATAAAGAGAAGTGAAGGGGCTGGAGTAGTTACAGGAGTGGGTTCAACAGAACATGGTGATGGGTGCTGTAGCAGAGGTAGAGGAGAGGCCAGGTCAACACCTGCTTGGCAGCTTGATACATGGTGTTGCTAGTCATGGGGCTGAGCAAGGCAGAGGAGTTTGGTGTGCCCTTAGGTCTTGTCAGGGGTTCTTACCCGACAGAACAGAGCTCCGGTCCAGCAGCCAGGTGTGTGGGTGAGGCCTGGGAGCCACCAGCCGTTCCACTGAAAGTTCACATGAAAGGAATTATTATCTACAGCCTTCCGGGTTCTTGAGTGCTAATGGCTCTTCTCTCCAGCAGGAAAATGTGCAGTTGCCACTGGGGCACCCCACAAATACCCAGGCAAGCCTGCAGGAGACCACTGAAGTCTGTGCCCCAGAACAGGGCTGACAGCTAGCCAGCCAGGTCTTTCCTGCTGAAAGATACTTAGAAGGGCATTGGGTCGGTCTGTGAAACATACTTGTAATAAAGCAGAAGACTCAGTGGTGGCTTTCTCTGCAAACATGCACACATTATTTCCTGCTCCAAGTAAGCCTGGGGACATGTTTGCAGGGAATGCTTTAAAACAGAGCTCATTGTAACAAGAAATGGGGCCCATCTGTTTATTTCAAAACTACTCAGACCCTCCAGCATTCACAGGTCCGTTGAGAGTTGCTGTCCCACTGATGGGATCCTTGTCAACAGAGGTTAGCCTCATGCGGCATCCATTTGGAACCAGGGTATGAACCCCGTAAAGTCTGTTGGATCTGTGAGCACATCTCGCCCAGAGTGCCTAGGAATCTGCTCCTGCTATTTCAGCCATCTCCCTGGTAGGCAGAGACAGGAGGTGCTCTTGGGGCCACTCCATTGTTAGGTGTGGAACGTGACCTATCCCAGAGAGAGGGTGGCGTAACAGACTCCTGGCTCCTTGTCACAGAGGCAACCAGGCTGTTGCAGCTGGAGGGGCCCCTCCGTTTGCCTCTACCACCAAACAGACACCTGCCCATTTGGTTCAGGTCTGAGCACGAGTGTCCTTTGGGGAAGGCTTGTCTGGTGACTTTACATCCCACTCCCAGGATCCTGTAGCTGGCCCTTTGAAGAGCAAGTCATCATTAGCATTTACATGACTATGGGGTTATTTTCTGCCTCTCTTAGACAGCTCCAGTAGAGAAGGGACCACTTCTGTGTTGGGCACTGCTGTCTCCATTCTTTAGCACAGTCCCTGAGCTAAATGCACGAATGACTTGAATTCATTTAGCAAACATCTGAGATCTCGCTATTGTGCTCTGCAAGGAATACAATCCTGTGGAAGCTTGCAGTCTGCTGGGAGAGACAGGCCCATGTGCTTCATTGCTGTGACCTGCAGGATGGAGCAGCTGGATCTGAGCACCCAAAGAAGGGTTGGCAGAGGGCAGATAGCAAGTGGGAGGGACAAAAGAGGCCTGGCAAAAAGGCACAGCCACAACCCAGGCAGAGAGTGAGGAGGTAGGAGGGCATTAGGGTGCGGCTCAGACCACAGGCATGAGGTGAAATTGGGTGTGCCAGGCCTTGACTTCTAGGGCATTGGAAAACTTAGAGAACAGCATCCTCACTTGCTTATTTCTTTACTTGTTTGTTTATAGATTTATTGATTTATGCATATAAGAACTGGGGTACAGGCCAGAGGTGGGGGGTGAGAGGACTCACCAGCAGAACAGGCAGATCAAGTGAAATACACTGCTGAGGGGAGCAGTGGGTAAGACAGGAGAGGTCTGCTATGCCATGTGGGTCACCTCCCTGGCTGGGAATCGAACTCATGCTGCAGTGGCTGCAGACAGCTTCATAGTGTTGTGCATTAATGCACTGAGCCACCAGCGAGGGCCCCGTCCTGGCATATTTAGATTTGTGTGTACTAAGAGACTCATGGAGGGCAGGTGAGTGAGAGGAGAGCAGGGCCAGGGCGATGAGACCTATTCGGCAGAAGTTTGGGATAATTTAGTTAATGCTAGCGATGCCCTGGAACCAGTCGCAGTTGAGGTGGAGAGAGAATCCCACCAGAGGTATTGAAGAGGGATATACTCTGGATTCATCAACAAGTTGGACAGAGGGTGGGATGAAGAGCAGGGAAGTAAAACACTTCTCCCTCTTGGCTAAAGACAAGCACTTCTAGCAGAATGGAATGTCCAGAGGCCGCCGCCTCCAGCCTGGCTAGCCACTGATCTGGGCCCCTCCCAGAGCAGGACGGTGGGTAGGCATGCAGCTGTCATCACAAACCCAGGCATCTGCCTTTACTTCTTCCCTGTAGGGGCAGGTAGCGTAGTCTTCTTTTATGAAGGCTTGTACAGATTTATCATCCTCTGTCTCAGTGTATGAAAGTGGACTTAAGTGTCTAGGACATGGCCAAGAAATCCCATTTTCTTTATACTGGGTGGCATAAAGGCAACAAAAAATAGTGCCAAAGTGGTATTTAACTGGAAGTGACTGATAAAGTCAATGTCATGGTATACAGATTGCAAAGCTAGCATCCCTGGGGCCAGAGCATGCCAGACTGCAGATAAACTGGGCTTGGAGGCCTCAGTGCCTGTAAGTGGTGGCGTCTGTTTGCAGGCCCTGTTCCTATCAGGGGGCAGAGTGTCTGGGGGGTTGGGGGGGGGCGCTATCCTCAGTGGTCCTGACTGGCGTGCCTCTCCCCTTCACAGTGTACGTACTGATCGACCTCCAGGGCCACCGCCATGTCGAGCCGGGGTGGGAAGAAGAAATCCACCAAAACATCCCGGTCTGCCAAGGCAGGGGTCATCTTCCCCGTGGGGCGGATGCTGCGGTACATCAAGAAAGGCCACCCAAAGTACAGGATCGGCGTGGGGGCGCCGGTGTACATGGCCGCCGTCCTGGAGTACCTGACAGGTGAGTGAGCCCGAGTCACCCAGACACCACAGCTGTGGGTTGCAGCCATTCCAACAGCTTTGCCAGGACTGATAGCACCTTTTTTTGGTCTCCTGTTTTGAAACTTAAAACCTGCAAAACAGTTACTCAAGAACAAATGAGGCAGCTTGTTAACAACTGGCAAATCTAGCTAAAAATGTTCATTGCACTGTTCTGGGGGACCTATGTTCTTTTCACAGATAAAGTGTGGTCTTGTTGGCGACTCCATAGGACTTCTAGGAGGCCAACTGGGCACAGATAGCACCCTAGCTTTGCAGCATAAGGAGACTAGTGACCTGGGGTCGCATGTGACCAGCAAGGAGTTAAGAATGGACCCAGACCCAGTTGTCTAGCTTGACGCTTTTACCATTCAATACTCTACAGGCTAGGTGGGGGTGGGGGGGACACCCTATTATTGCCCCCACCTCTCAGAAGGGGTGACTCAGCAAGACAAGGTGCCTGCTTTAGAGTGGAGGGTCAGGCAGCAGGAGAGCTGGCCTCTTCCTCTCTCCCAGGCCTCTCGATGAGGCCAGACCCAGGCCTCCCCACAAAGAGCAGTTTTGCTCTGTGCAGACAGAAAAAGTCACGCATACCTCTGTGAAGAGCATGTTTTCAGGGGTGAGGTCTCAAATAAGTACTCCCCCTCAGGGCTGGCTCAAGCCTGGGGTGATTGTGGGAAGAGGTTGTAGTCTCCCTTCTTGATCTGAAACTTGAAGTTGGCATATCTTTCTTCTCTTGGGTATAGAACTTGAAAAGGCAACGTCTGGAACAATCTGGGTCTGGTTACCAAACACCTCCATCCCCGTATCACTGTGCATGGCCCTGCAGCCTGCTGGGCTTGTCCCAGAGCCCTCCCTGTTGGGTGTGATGCAGTACCACAGGGCTCCCTGGGCCTCACCCTGTTCTACACCTCCTTGAGCTACTTGCTAAGAAGTCATAGTGGTCCCACCTCTTGGAGTTGCTTTGCAGATTGATAATAAACCTCACTGCTTAACTAGAATTCATAGTAAGCACTCAGTATATATATATATGGTAGATAAAATATGTGTTACAGGGATACTGAAGCAGTCGGGGCAGCCTCTGCCTCGCTACCATTTTTACCCCCACAGCACTATGGTACCTTTTCCTGAAAGGATTTTTTTTTTTTTAAGATTTATTTATTCATACAGAACTGGGGTACAGGCCAGAGATGTGGAGGGTGAGAGGACTCACCAGGGACAGAGTGGGGAATAGAACAGGCAGATCGAGGAAGTACACTGCTGAGGGGCTCAGCGGGTCAGGAGAGATCTGCCGCGCCATGTGGTCACCTCCGGGGCAGGCGGGGATCGAACTCATGCGGAAGTGGCTTTAGCTTCTCAGTGCTGTGCTTTAACCCGCTGCGCCACCAGGGAGGGCCCTCCTGAAAGGATATTTAAAGGGGATATTTAAAGGAGTTGTTTTCTGTGCCTGGCACAGCACCACACAGAGCTGGAGCAAGAAGCTCAGGGCACAGCTATTGCCCCAAGGGAATTCCTATGGCTGTTGAGGACTCACAGGTCCACTGTATGGGCATGGGACAGAGCTGGGGCTAAGCTGACCGCACTCAAATCGCATAGTGTTGGGGGCAAGTGTGAAGAATGTGGCAGAGCAAAGAGCAAACACACCTGCTGCTTAATGGTCTTAAGTCATGGCTTTAAGGCTTCAGGGTTGTGCCAATTATGTTCAGCAGAACTAAGATGCTTGGTGAAGTTTAAGAGCGAATCTACCAAAAATAGGACTGTATGGCTGAGGTTAGTCTAGAGTCACATTCCCTCTGGGGGGATGGGTAGGTGACAGACAAGTTCCCCCAGTGAAGGAATTTGTTTTATTTGGGAACTACCTAGCTATACCTTTCTTCATTTTGGATTTTTTAGAGCCTTTCATATACTGTTGTACCATAAATCCCCAAACTTCTATCCCAGAATCCTTTTAGGGAACAGCAGTAAATACCTGACACAGTACAGTGTAGGGGAGCTGTTGTAGGGTAAGCCCATGAGAAATGGCACTCCGAGGTTCTCAGTGAGGAAACAAAAGCAAACGCCATCCAAGAAGGAGCTTTGGTCTGCGGTGTGGCATTGAGGTACAAAGCTTGGCTAGTAGGTAAGGAGACCTAGGCCTTCCTCCTCAGGGAGCATGTACAAGGTGCTTGGGTCTTTGATAAATGGGCTTCCCAGCCACTTGGGCACTGACTGGCTTTCCGGAGGCTGAACAGACCTCCCTGCTGGAGGAGCTTGTCCTGGAAGAACCTTTACATCCCTCTTGCTTTCCTGAGGCTGAACAGACCTCCCTGCTGGAGGAGCTTGTCCTGGAAGAACCTTTACATCCCTCTTGCTTTCCTGAGGCTGAACAGACCTCCCTGCTGGAGGAGCTTGTCCTGGAAGAACCTTTACATCCCTCTTGCCCAACTTCTGAGAAAATGGGTATCATTCCTGTTCGTCAAATTCCGAAAGGTGTGAGATGACATCTTTTTCTTTTTTTGGTTCACAAGTCCTCTACATAGCCTGATCACACACCTTATTCTGCCAACTTGCCTCCTAGGACTTAAGCCTGCTTGTGAAATCAAATCCACAGTCGAGGATTTCTTGACTTCGAGGAGGATGGAAAGCACAGGCTCCCAGCCCTGCAGCTGCACGTTGGCACATTGGGACTGAGCCTGCCCCTCCCGAGGTCGCCACTGTCCTAAATTCTGATCCTTTATAAAAACAAGTGTGATAGTAATGTATTCTTACCTCTCATAAGGGATGGCTGTGGCTAGAATTTTTTCTCCTTCTTCAGCTCTAATCTATAAAAAGATACGAGGACCTCTGGACTCCCATATTAATCCCTGATGGACTCCTTCCCATTTCCCTAACCCTGCCCCTCCCCACTGCCCATGCTTCCGACCTTGGTCTCCTGTTTGTCTCCTACCAGGCACCAAATGCCCTCACAGCAGGTGGTTCAGTCACAGGAACTTCCCTAGCCTGGGTGTTTATAGGACTTACTGCCGACTAGGAGCAACTCTGGCTGATCTGATGGCCACTTTATGTAGAGTGGATGAGGCCCAGTCCTTGGGCCTGACTGCATCCTGCAATAAAACCACCAAAGGAAAGGAATGATGGTTCAAAATAGGCCTTGTTGTCTGGTTTTGTCTAATAAGGTGATCATCCTTACTCTAAGGATGGCTTGTATGATTTCCGACCTGTGATCGGGGTCAAATGTTGCATAACCCTTTGGTGTTAGTCCTTTGCTGACCAGCTTCTGCAAGTGAGGTAGAGCCCGCCCTCTCCTATCAGTAGCACATCCTACACACAGCCATTTCACAAACACCTATCACACTTGGCATTTCTGGCCTGGGAACAAAGAACCCTGATGAGCTTGGAAGATTGGGGTGAGCTGAGCTGACAGTGGACTCTGTCACTTCCCTGGCCTGCTTACCACTTTCCCTCCCATTGTAGGACATCTAGTGTGTCCAGGACTTAGAGCTGGAGGAGGACAGACAAGCTGGGCCCCTGGATGCTCCCAGGCCCTTTGAGTTCCTACAGCCTTTTCTTGTGTGGCCGCTCTTATACTGACACTTCAGGCCAGGGCCCTGACTCTTGCAGGCACCTGCTTGGGCCTTCATGCTGGCCCAGGGTTCTCAGCACCCCACAGTGCTCACTCTTCTGCAAAACCCTTCATCAGCTTCATTTCCCTTAAAACAAAACACAGGAAAGGGAACTCAGAATTTTATGCAAACAGGAGGTTGCAACTAGAAAAAAGTTGAAAACACTGAAGTTGATCATCATCAAATCAAGTTGATCATCAGAATTCCAATGTACTATATCCTCATTGTCTGCAGACTGCACTTAAATGAACAGTTTTTTTTTTTTCTGGTTGTGGGAGTACCTTGTATTTGAAAATTGAAGAAGAAAGTAAAACTTACTCAGAATCCCTCTATCCAGAGATAGCAGCTGGCAGTGAGTGTCCTGTGGGTATCCATGCATGGAAGAAAGACTTTTATCTATTTTTTAAAATTAATGCCTAGTAATAATGATCTTCATTGGTAGCTAATCCCAGAAAATCGTCAACACCATCATCTCACAGCGTAAGTCATGACCTAATTCAGGAAGAGTTCCCTGCGAACGCCGTGCTGTCTGTCCTCCTCCAGTCTCCCGGGGGGTATCCACAGCAGAGAGACGCAGGCACACTGGAAGCACAGTTTAGCCCCCAGAAGAACTCAGGCGTGAGGTAGCCAGCAAGCAAGCCGACCACGGGGTCAGACTTGAGGCCTTGAGGCTAGCACATGGAGCTGCGGGGGGACACCTGTATTTCTCTGACTACCCCACCTCTTATGTGGAGGTGGCAGCACAAGGCGCAGTCACCCTTCTCCTGGGGACACCTGAATCTGATCTTGACCTTAATAACCGAGTTTCTAGCTGGTCCCTCACCCAGCCCTTCTGAAGAGTCTGAGGTTGTCCAGGAGAGTGCCCCTGTGACCCGGGCCACCTCATGAAACCGTGGCCCCGTTTCTCCTACTCTCCCAGTGCCACTGACCAGACAGTATCACTTGGAGCTGAGAAAGAATAGGCCTCAGTGTTTTCATTTGCAAACACTTTCTCCCAGTCTGTGACTTGTCTTCTTCTCAGAGAGCAGATATTTTTAACCTCAGTGAGGTCCAGCTCATCAATTCTTTCTTTTACGGATGGTGCCTTTGGTGTTGTATTTGGAGGTGGTTCGCTCCAAAGCCAAGGTCATCTAGATTCTCTCTCCTGCTTTGTCTTCTAGTTTTGCATTTTTATATTCAGGTCTGTGATCCCTCTTGAGTTAAAGGGTGTAGGGCTATGTCACTCTTTTGCATATGGGTGTGCAGTTGCTCCAGCACCATTTGTGGCAACATCCGTGCTTTCTGGAAGGTAAATCATTAGGCAGTCTCACCAAGAAGCTGCTCCACAATTTCTCTTTGAAGGGTGATAATGCAGCTCGCATTTCTGTCATGGCGTCTGCAA